TCGTCGTCATCGTCGTCGTCGTCGTCGTCGCCGCCGTCGTCGTCGTCGTCGTCGTCGTCGTCGTGGTCGTGGTCGTCGTCGTCGCCGTCGTCGTCGTCGTCGTCGTCGTCGTCGCCGTCGCCGTCGCCGTCGCCGTCGCCGCCGCCGCCGCCGCCGTCGTCGTCGTCGTCGTCGTCGTCGTCTTCGTCGTCGTCGTCGTCATAATCGTCGTCCTCGTCCTCTGGGGTCGGCGGGCGGGGCGCTTCGCTGCCCCCCCGCCAGGAGGCCGCCAGTGCGGAAGGCTGCGCGCGCGCCCGGCGCGCACGGCGGTCCTCGTCCGGCGCCCCCGCGCGCACCTACGCGCAGGGGGGGGAGGAAGGAGGGGAGGAGAGGGGGAGAGAGGGGAAGGGAGGAAGGAGGGAAGGAGAGGGGGAGAGAGGGGGGTGGAGGAGAGGGGGAGAGAAGGGATGAGAAGGGGCAGAGGAAGGAGGGAAGGAGAAGGGGTGAGATGGGGGGGGAAGGACAAGCCGGGTGCGCTCGCGCCAGATCTAACATTCTACCTCTGCCGCCCATCCCTCCCCATTGCGCGGAGTTCTCTCTGTCCACGAAGAGACGGGAACAGGAGGAGGGGAAGACGGACGGAAAGGCAGGCGGGGGAGGAGGGGGAGCAGGGAGGGAGCAGGAGGCGGAGGGAAAAGGACGAGGAGGAGGAGGAGGAGGAGGGAGTGAGGGGGGAGGAGAACGGAGGAGGAGCAGGACGAGGAGGAATGAGGAGGATGTAGGATGGAGGAGTACGGGGCAGCGGGGGCGCCTCGACGTCCGCGCCCTCGCCGCGCCTCAGCAACTCTTCCAAGTCCACCGCCAGCGAGACGCCGGGCGCCTCTTCGCACCACGTCCGCCGCCGCCGCCGCCGACGGCGACGACGACCACGAGAACGACGACGGCGAAGACGACGAGGACGTCGACTGAGGCCGGGACCAGCTGTGGAGGGGAAGGCACCGGGCGAGGCGAGGCGAGGCGCCAGCATGTCGCCCCAACGGCGGGCGGCCCTGCGAGAGCCCGGCGGTGACGCCAGAGCGCCGCGAAATACGACTACTCCAGATTTCGTAATAAAGGGAGGGGGGTCTCATTTCGGGGGGGGTCTCTTCCAGGCTATCTTGGAGGGCCTGGGGGGTCTGGGGACGATGTTTTGGAGGGTTCTCCCACGGGAGAGGTCTGAAATGGCTTGTCTTGGAGGGTCCAGACCCCCTCCCTTTTATTACGAAATCTGGAGTATACAACTTATCATCGGAATGAGGCCAACCACTCACCTGTGGACGCGCGAGGTTGGGACTGGAGGGCGCAGGAGCCTGACCAAAACTGAGCGTGGAAACACCATGTCGATCTTGGTCAGCGTCGATCGTGGTCAGCGTCACCTCGCGCATCATCCTCGCGGATCGGCGGCGGCCGGTATGGACCATGACCAGGATCGGCATGGGCAAGATCCTGCGACATCCTGGTCATGGTCCCCATGTTTTTGTCCCTCGAGGCTGGAGGCATTGTTTCTGGCCGCCAAGAACTGGGGCCTTCGGAACAATGTCCTGCCTCAAAACAAAATTGAGTGCTTCCAGGGAGCTTATGGCAAGCATGCCGTCGCAAAACAACAAATGACTTCAGTGGGCTCCCTAAGCATGGTCCTTGGGAGCCTACTTGGCCTCTGGCGCTGTCCAATTTGGGCTTGTTTTGAACCATAGTTTGAACACATTTGGGACTGGATTTGGACAGGATTCGTCCCATCACAACGGAGACGAGGAGCATGATGGGGGAGGAGGAGCAGGAAGGGCGAGGAGGAGCAGTAGGAAGGGCCAAATGCGGCTCAGATGCAAGAACACAAAGCCGATACCAATGTCGCCACCCGGGAACAGACAACGAAACGAGCGTTAGGTCGGGCATGTCCCCCTGCAGGCCCATTTCTTAGGAAAAAACAAAAAAGTTTAAACACAGGCTCAAGACTGGTCAAAAAATGCTAAACAGATAGTCCCCAGTCTATTTTTCACCATCCTTGAACGCTCCTCCTGCAGGCCCGACTTGAGCCTGGCGGTGGGGGCGAGGCGCGCCACGGATGGCGCGGCAGGGGCGCCGCCGTGCGAGCTGCCAAAAGCCTCGCCTCGGGAGCGCGCGGCTCCGTCGCGCCTCCTGCCGAGCGGGGGCGCCCCCCGAGCGGGCGTCCCCCTCTCAACCCCCCCTTCGGCATTCGGCCAGCCCCAGATCCCCCCCCCGCCTCCCAAGCACGGGGGCGGAAGGGGTGTGGGGGGGGGGAGACGAGGGGGGAGAGACGGGGGGGAGACGAGGGGGGGAGACGAGGGGGGGAGACGAAGGGGGGAGACGAGGGGTGGAAGGGGGGGGGAGCGAGGGGGGAGACGACGGGGGAGGAGGGACGGGGAGTTCGCAAAGCAGGGGGACGGGGGAGATGAGGGGGGATTGGATTGGGAGACTCGGCGCTGGGTTCGAAACCGAGACCTTGGCGACGCCTCCGGTGAGGTCTTGCCATCTCAACCTGACGGCTTCTCGCGAAGATTCCACGGGAAATGCCGTGGCTGTTTTGGATTATGAGTCGGAGGCGGGGGAGGAGGAGCAGGAGGATGGAGGAGGAGGAGGAGGAGGAGGAGGAGGAGGAGGAGGAGGAGGAGGAGGAGCAGGAGGATGGGGGCGAAGTAGGGAGACAACAACCACAACAACAACGCCACCCCCACCACCACCAACAACAACACCACCACCAATAACAACCACCACCACCACCACCACCACCACAACACCAACGCCAACAAAAACACCAACAACAACGACAACGACGACGACAACGACAACGACGACGACGACGACGACAACAACAGCAACAACTACAACAACAACAACACCAGCAACAACAACAACCACACCAACAGCAGTAACAACAACAACAACGACGACGACAACAACAACAACAACAATAGCAACGACAACCGTGACAACGAAAACGATGACGACTACGACGACAACAGCAACACCAACAACAATAGCAACAATAACAACACCACCAACAGCACCACCAACATCAACAACAGCGACAACAAGACCACCACCAACAGCAACAACAGCAACAACAACAACAGCCACAACAGCAGCAACAACAACAATCAGTTTAAGAGTGTTCGCCCTTATTTGCTCGAGTGTCCAATAACGCGTATTTCCCAAACCCTCGGTACCCGCCCTCTTCGTCTTCGATCGAACCCCTTCTGGGGGGTATACAATTCTTCCCTGCAGGCCGGGCCCCGGCAAGCGGCGGGGCGGCCGCGGACCGTCGGCCTGGAGCGACGACGAAGACGACGACGAGCGAAAGCGAGAGCGAGAGAGAACGACAGCAGGGCCACGAAGGGCACGAATTAGACCACCAAGGGCGACAGCGGGGACACGAAGGGAATGCGTATGGGGCCACGAAAAGCGCGAACGAGCGGGGGCCACGAAGTGCAGATAATGCGGGGCCACAGAAGGCAACTATGGGGCCACTGAGGGTAGCAACTGGGCCACGTAGGACAGTGAGGGGGGCACAAATGGCGACAGCGGGGCCACGAAGGGCATGCACATGGGGCCACAACGGGCGCGACTCATGGGTGCCTTGGTGTCGGGAGCGCGGCGCTTGGGCAAATTGTAAGAAATTCCAACGCAAGGCTATGCTTCAGTAAGTTGCAAGCAAGTCTCCAGCGAAAGCGCGACTCCAGAGCGCCGGGGAGCGATTCCTAAATAAATTGTAAGGAAGTCCAAAGCGAGAGCGCGATTCCTGAATAAAATGCGAGGAAGTCTCGGGCGGGAGCGGATGTCCTGGCTAAATTATAAGGAAGTCTAAAGCGGGAGCCGTTGTTGTTGTAACCCGGGGGCCAGGGGCCCAGTTTGAGCAACAACACTTTCCCTGTCAATAAACAGGGTGCGAGCGTCGACGGGCACACTTTGATTTAGAAAAAGCAGTATGCACCGGTGGGGGGGATCAACAATATATTTTTTCTTCCGGAATGAAAATTCCAGACCACCAACAGCAACATCAACATCACCACAGACAACAACAACCGCAACACCAACACCGATAACAAACACAATTAACATCAACAACAACAACAACAACAACAATTACTAGCACGTGGGGACACTCCGTTCTCACCAGTGCCAGGGTTTTCATGGGAGGCGGGCAATACCCCCACTTTGTGGGGGGGCCGGTTCAAGCTCTACCAAATTTCCAAACGACTCTTCGCCACCACCCACACCCAGCTTCCCGCCCTATGACGTTCGGACACTTCACTTCGTGGCATGCGGACGACCGTGGCTACTATTCAGGGCCCCGCGGCCGACGACGACGGCGTGCGCGCGCGAAGAAAAAACGAATGTGTCCCGCATGGTATTATTTGACAGGGATGATGGCCCTGGCAGGTGCGCAACCGTTGTTGCAGAAGTTCGAAAAAGTTGCTCGCAAAAGCCCGTTTGACAGAAATGTTTAAAAAGTGTTGGGTTTCCTACGAATCCGCAAGAGCGCGCGGGATGAGATTTTGACATTTGAAAACCTTTGGTTTTTTGATGTTTTTATGTTAAAATCGCTACGAACACTAAGGTTTTGGAAGGATTTCGTCTTGCGCGCGCGAATGTCCACTTTACCTTATTTTTTGCAAGGGATTCTTGAAGTTTGGTTATGTTAGAACAAGAAATGTCATTTTTATTTTTTGCAAGGGAAAGCGGGGGGGAACAAAACAACCGGATCCGGACCAACCCGTTTTGCCGGAGACTTCCTCACGAAAATGATGAAAACATGGCTGCGGCCTAGGCGCGGCGAGGGGGCCGTGCACCAGGGGTCCCAACAATAATTATTCTTTAGAAGTAATAATGTTCAACAACAACAACAACAACAACAACAACAACAACAACAACAGCACCAATCATTTTAAGACTGCTCGCTCCTATCTGCTCACGTGCCGAGCAATACGTATATCCCAAGCCCTCAGTACCCGCCCTCGTCGTCGTCGATCGTACCCCCTTGGGGGTACATCTTCCTTACCTGCCACGTGTATTTAGTGCAGCCCCTAAAACAAGGGAAGAGAGGACGGGTGGAAGGGGGAGGGTGAAGAATGGAGCACGAGAGAAATTAGCAGGAGGGGGGCAAGGAACAAAAAACAAGTGGTAGAACCAGACGGGCAGATCGGGTGGGCAGACTCATAGCAGGAAGGTCGGGAAGGCGGGCCCAGGCGATGAGGTCGAGCAGGCGGGTTGCTGAAGCGTGGGTCCTGCATGAATCGCGAAGAGGTCTCGAGCGATAGCGCGATTCCCACGTAAATCGTGGGAAAAGCCAGCGTGGGCCACGAAAGGCATAAGATCCGAGGCCACAGAGGGCAGCGACGGGGCCGCTGAGGGCAGCACCGGGGCCACGAAGGGCAGCGAGGGGGCCACAATGAGGGCAGCAACGGGGCCACGGCGGGCAGCGAGCGAAGGCGACCGCGGAACCAGTGCGGGCAGCAAGGGGCATCGAAGGCGGGCGAAGGGCAGCGAGCGGAGACTGCAATCATTAACGGGCTGGTCGGGCGGGCAGGCCCCGACGGGCGGGTCGTGCGGGCGGGTCGTTGAAGCGTGAGTCTTGCTTGAACCGCCAGGCAATATGTAGCGGGAGCGCGATTCCTGAGTGTCGAGGACCGGCATCTGAATCAATTGAGGAAATACCAAGCGAAGCGGTTCGGTGGTAGGTTGCGAGGAAGTCCCACGCGAGAACGCGATTCTGCAATACACTGTGAGGAAATATCAAGCGAGAGCCGCGATTCGGTGGTAAATTGCTAAGAAGTTCCAAGCGAGAGCGCGATTCTTCAATCAATTGTGAGGAAAGATCAAGCG